CATCAGAAGCTAAAAGTATTAAATATTATACTAAAGCAAAAATTACAAAATCATGTTAAAATAAGTAATACATTAAGAAAAAATATGAAAACAGCTGTTAATGCTAAACCAAAAGTAGATAAACAGTAGCCAAAAGTAGTAAAGACATAGCTAAATGCTAAAATTAACCAAACCAAAAGGCATATTATAGGTAAAAAGCTAAATGTAGCAAAATTGTAACTAAAAGCAAAAGTTTGAAAAACCATAGCTAAAATCTAAAATTTAGCATTTGCATAGCTAAAAGCTCATGTCAGCAAAACTTGCCGAAAAGGATAAAAATCAGTAAAACTGTAGCTAAAAACTAAATGGAGCAAAAACACAAAAAAAATTTGACTTCAGAAAATATTTTCAAATAAACTGGGGAAATCTCAGATTTTATTTTTCTTTTCGCTGCTCTCCTCTGCTGGGTTGCCACAGTGAGCGAATTCTCATATAAGATTTTTTTTTTTTGTGATTCAACCTGGGCCTCCTATAGCCTCAGGATTGCCTCACCACATCACTTACCACTGAGCTACCGCAGCCCCAAGTTAAGCAATTCAAAATATATAAAAGTTACAAATATAAAATGTAACAGCAAAAGTTTTCCAGAGATTGGAGGTTTTTCATGTACAACTGGTTAAAGCAGAACAAAATATAAGGAAACAGTTTGTAAAAAGCATACGTTAGAAACTATAAACAGGAATGAGTGAATGCGGACTCAGCGTTCAGATGATTAGAAAGTTCCTGACGTCTGATAATTATGCAGCTGCTGCACAAAACTCCAACATAACTTTGTAATAATCTAAGAAAACTTTACACACAGAGGAAGTTAAAACTGTTCCAGATCCCAGCCTCACCTGAGGTCCTGCTCCGGCAGCCAAGAGAATCTCTTAAAAACAGGACGACGTCGACCTTAAACCTCACATAGACGATGACGGWCGCAACCATCGCCGCTGTGATGAGGACCGTGCACACGGTCATGGTGAAGTAAGAAGGGCGAGCTGCAGGGAAACCAGAGAGAGAGAAAAGCTTTTAAACTGCAACACAACATTTTGTTACTGTCTATTGGTTCTGAAATTATAAACAGTACAAAAATACCAGAGGTTTTTATTGAGAAATTATTAATGAAGAAAAACTGTGCATTTATTTATTTACAGGAACGGCTCTGAAATAGTTTAAATTATCAGTCACTGATGGAGTTCCTCAGGGCTCTGTGCTCGGACCAATCCTCTTTACTTTATGCTTCCATTAAGTAAAGTTATTAAACAGCATGGGATAATGTTTCCTTGTTACACTGATGATAYTTTTCCATGAAAACTGATGAATTCAATCAGCTACAAGCATATCTTAAAAACAAAGCCTGGATGACTCTTAATTTTCTGCTTTTATATTTGAACAAGATGGAGGTTGTAGTTTTTGAACCTGAGCATCTTAGGAATAAAACTTTTCAGTCCTCCCTCTGGCATTTTAAGATAAATCTAAGGCCATGGTTGGACTGCACACTGTGGCTTGTAGGGAGAGGATTTGCTTTATTTGGAGGAAGTTTCATACCTCAAGGTCTTGTTCAGGAGTGAGGGAAGATCAATCAGTTGTGGTAAAACTCTTAATTTATTGGTCAATCTATGTTTCAAACCTCACTAATGGTCATGAGCTTTGGTTGCTGACGATTAGAATAAGAAAACAAATACAGGCAGTCGGAGAGGAGACCCTAGGACTGATTCAGGGGTCTCAACTGGCCTTGGGTTCCCCCCAAAAAGCAGCTGGAGGTGGCTGGGGAGGACGGTCTGGGCTTCCTTTGTAAGATTGGTGCCCCCACAATCTGGACCCGAATAAATAGAAGAGGACGACTGCATTATGTTGACTGTAATCTTTATCTATATGAATTTGGATTCATGATGTTTTTATTATTGAACACTGCCCTGAGATGACTTTTATTGTGAACCAACTTTTTTAATACATTTAATTGAATTTGATACCTGTTTTAGTCAGGATGATGGTGGCAAAGTCTACAAGTTGGTCACCTTGAAATTTACATGTGAAATTTTTGGACAAATCTTCCCCCATGACTTTTTTGAAAACTAAAGATGCTTCCATCCTCTTCCTCGTATCGTTGCTGAAAAGACAGAATAAGATATTTCTAGTATTTCGACGTTTCGTTACATCAATCAAACCTCTAACACGTGTCCAGCTCTCACCAGGTGAAGTTGGAGAAGATTCTTGTTAAGTTTGTGTCTTCATTTGTAACAAATTGGTCATCGCTCATCCAGAACAGYGAGTTGAAGCATGAATCGACGACAGCTTTACAAGTGATCACGAATGTTGTGTCTGAGGAAATGGAGTCCAAAAATAATTAAAAGTATTGCAGGTTGCAGAAGTATTCAGAGCTCTGTTCTGTTGCTTTACAGCCTGGAAATTAAAATTCGACAAATGTCATAAAAAGGTCACAGAACCATTTTTTTCTGGCATAACATCCATGCTGAATATAAAAAACTCACCAAGTTCGACGTGAAAAACTTGACCGTCTCGTGGTGAAGAGATTCCATAAGTTTCCACAATTGCTAAGTAGTATACAGTATGTCTTTCATTAGAAGTATGAACTCACTGATGAACTGAGACAGAAAACATTAAAATTAAATTAAAGAGATTTTTTTTTCATACCTGGTATTTGGACATCAAGTTTCACGATAAAGGAGATGTTGTACGTTTGACCAGAATATAAGTAAGGTCGAGTGCACCTGTAGATGCCACTGTTTTCCTTTTCAACACTCGGGAAGTATCCCCTCGACAGTTCTCCATCCTTCTGGAAAATGACACACAAATTAGTGACTGAAACTCTAATCTAAACCTCAAACAGTGCATTTTTTTCATACCTTGTGCCATGTAGTCCAACTGTTTGTAAGGTTGGGGATGTTTGCAGTGGGGATGTTCACTTCAGGACAATTTAATTCGCAGGACTCCTGGGTGAAACATGTTGTGCTGTATGTGCACTTTTGTTCATACTCTTCAGACTGAGCTGAATAAACTCTCAGGAGAAAAGTTGGCTGGCTCATGTTACTCCTGTAAGGAGGAAAAAACAAAAGTGAAACTCATCTCCATCTTCAACAGGTCCAGCAGAGAAACTCCTCCCTCTTCTTATAGACACTACCCAACTCTTCCTGAGGAATCCCAAAGTAAGCATCAGAGAGGACTGGGTCTGACCAGGGGTCTCTTCCCAGCAGGACATTCAAGGGTGGACAAACCAGTAAATCCAGAGGTTTGCCTTTTGACTCAACTCTTTCCTCATTACTACTGACCTAAGCAACATCCTCATTACTGATGACAAGAC